ACTTTTGGGTACAACTTACTTACTTTTGGGAAGAAATCTAGTGGAAAATTCCATATTTACTTGTGTGGAATAGTAAAAGAAAACTACTTTAACCGCAAAAAAGGTTATCATCCATTTAATTCCATTTAATTAATGTTGGTATCCATGACAGATACGTATTTCGACTACAATGTGCAGTCTTCATCAGTGTCATTTCCCACTAAAGACTTATCAAAAACCTAACCCCCTTAGTACATTGTGGTCAAAATACGTATATGTCATGGATACCAAAATTAATTAAGTGGAACTTAATGGATGATAACCTTTATTGCTGATTTATTCCACTAACAACCCAATTTAATCACTTAATTACTTTGATCCGCTTTAACAACTTTTTGGTTCCTGCATTATAGTGCCAACAATCAATTCGAAACTAACGATTTTAAATTGGCTCACTACTTGACTAGCCTATTGGTCCCAAGCAAATCGATTAACAATCCCCATTCTAGTCGAAACTCTAGTACTACACAATGTTTGTTTTGATTCCCTATGAAAGTTTGACAGATAAAATGAGGGGTTAGTGGATTTTCCTATGTTTCGAGGGGTGAATCGATTAGCTTGGGATGGAAGAGAGTACCAGAGCTGAGCCAAAAATTTGAGCTCGTTTTTTCGGGACTTTCTGGTCTAAGAGTTACCTCTATGATAGTGCCGCGATGAGTGAAAAGAACTTATTTACTTTTGGGTTCTTTTTTTCTTACCGTTGGATTGGAGTTCAACCAACCGTTCGTGAAACTTCTTCAAAGTTCTTTATACAAAAATAAAGATTCATGTCGGCAATTCTTTACTTTAAATTTTCTATGATTTCGATGTACACATTTAAAAATCTTTATTGATCGATACTTACATTTAAGATTATTTCTTCATCGGTCATATGATAGTAATCTATAAAGGTGCCATACTAAATTTCTTTTAATTTCGATTAATTACAAATATTCATCAATAAATATTTAAATACTGATATCATCGTAACTTTGAACTTTGACAAAGAACAACAAAGATTGCCTTGGATGCACATTTATAATCTCCTTGTTATCGATTTGTATCGCAGGTTAAAGAGAGATCGAGACACACCAGGTGACTGATGGCAATGTTTATATTATTTATCGAAATATTCGGCATTTCATCGGATAGAAGCAATCTGCCGGTAAATGAACGAGAAGACCGATGGCCGTGACGTAGCAAAGGTTTACCATTGTAGTTCTTCACGTTTTATATTTAATAACCCGTGATAGCATGCGTGGTGGGATTCTCGGCATTTGGAACCCAGTGAGGAAAATTGATACCTTTTTGACCTCTTTTACAGCTACATGGCTGACTGGTTGATGGTTATGACAAATAAATATTGAATTCATGTATGAAAAGATGTACAGAAATTTCAATACACCACATACTAGAGTGTGTTTGCCTGTCGTTGATAAGCTCATCAACAGCAGCCGTGCACCCGAGAATAAGCAACCAGCAACGAAATCAGTACACCTCAGATGGCGCATGGGATCGAATTCGAAACTAGAAATTATGCAGATAAAAAATCACAAATAAAATCAGCAGTTGTGTATCGATATTTTGATTTTACAACAGAAATCGATATTTTGATCTGGCAACACAATCGATATTTTATCATTGGTAACGATTGGTAGCAATATTTTGAGAATGATCTTTATAAACGATTCACGATTAGACTTTTAGCATCTTTACAATTATTCATGAAATGGTGACGATCGCTATCGATTTTTCTTATGAATGGCATTGGTGATCGATGTATAGAAAATTAAAGAAAATAACGAAATGTTGGTTGGGATCGCGTTCGATCAAACTGACTGCACTAATAAAAAAAATACCATAAACGAAAGATAACCCAAATGTTTGAACCATTCCACAAATAGTTTGGATGGTACCACAAACGAAGTGACAGACGACTAACTGGCGAAGAAATCCATTTAAATAATGTGGTTCACTGTAATAGAATTTTCTTGGAAGCTTGTGCCATCATCAAGATGGGTTAGTTTTTTTGTTTTGATTTGAACAAAGTTGATTTTGTGTACAATGATTCTTTGACAGTGTGCAAAGAGTGCGTATCATTTTGTAATTTTTTTATGCATTTCAGTTTTGAGTAGAGTGAAAGAGATAGAACCAAAACATTCTAGTACATTTGGTGAAAATGCTAGTTCAATCGAGTAGTAGTGTTGCCATGTGGTATAATCCAGTAGTAGTGGTGTTGCCATGTGGTACACTGTTTCACCAAAGTTTTCGAGCCGCTCCGTCTGTCACTTCGTTTGTGATGGTACCCCGAACACATCGTTAAGCAAATTAATCATAACATTTTTATTAGGGTGACTACACGGAAAACAAAACATAGGGTTTTAACATTTTTCTAGATTACTAAGGTTGTGTTCCAATGGTGAAGTTTCACCTAAATTTGATAGATGAAAAAATTTCAAATAAACCTGCTATTCCAGCAGACTTATTTCTGACCGATCAGGAATCAATCTTGGCAACCACCTTCTCAAAAATCGGACGATCAACAACATAAGGATTTTCGAACACTATAATTTATTTTCGAAGTGTAAAGTTTAAGTGAAAATTCACCAAATGGAACACAGCCTTAAAATTGTGTGATTCTCGGTAGGGAACGTGAAAAATCGGTAGTTTTGAACCTTTCGTCTGTGAATCGGTAGGCATTCCAAAAATCGGTAGGACTACCGATAAATCGGTAAGTCTGGCCACCCTGTTCGCAAGTGAAAAAATTCAAGTAGCTAACGGAGCTTCTGGGAGACAAGAACAATTCAAGCTGAACATTACATTAGGTCCTAAGTAACATTGGTCGATTATCTTCGTCGACTATCTTTTTCGCTAATAACTTGAGCACATAAACGTTTCTTGTTGTGTTTTTCGTATTAGATGCTAGATAAGAGCTTCTTTAATCGATCTGTGTGCTGAAAATATCTGGAAATATCTTAACATGGTGTGGGGATATAAAGAGAGATTCGACGAAAACAATCAGTCAATGTTACTTAGGACCTAATGCAATGTTCAGCTTGAATTATTGAACCTGAAAAATGTTTAAACAAGTGCTTGGTATAACTTATAAATACCACAATAATGTACTAAATAAAGCGAAGAAATGATTTTTATCTAAAATTACTATACTATGGTCAGTAATGAATGCAATAATTGTAGTTCAATACAATAATGTTTATTAACTTTGCTTGTTTGGTACCCCGCATAACAGTTAGATGGGTACTTCTGGCGGGGCTCTTATTATAACATTGACTCTGGTTCAATGTAGTACCAAAAAAATTGAAGCAATTCACGATTGTCAAGAGCATCGCACAATTAGGTTTAGCACCGTCGGGGTTAACCTCAATCTGATAACAGTTCAGTGGCACTGTTTACGTGGACTTAGTCGATTTTTTCTTGGGTAGATTTTTTAGATAATGTTTCAGACTGCAGTGAGATGTAAACCACACTTCTACAATGCCCACGAGCAAAATCCTTTCACCGCGTATTTCCTCGACAATTTTCATGTTAAAATTCGAAAATTTGAAAAAAAAATCGAAAAAAAACTACTAATAGGGTTAACACCTCATTTCCGGCCTATTAAGCACTACCCGCACTTAGTCTGTTTAAATCTTGTGTAGTTCAGCACCAAACGGATTGTTATTGTTACTGTTAGCTTCCACATTTATTTATACCTTTCCGTACGTACCGTAAGATTTGATAAAGAGAAACGAATTGTTGAGATATCCCTAATAAACAAATACCATAAACGAACGGTAACCCATATGGTCGAACTATCCCACAAATAGTTTGGATGATATTCCTAACACGTTGTTAAGCGCTTTCTTATTGTTATTTTTATTAGGGATTGTTAAAAGTCTAACACTGCTTCTTGACGCCATACTCGGCCTACGGATTCTAAACTCGGCCTAACGCATTGAAACGCCAATGAATTCACTTCGGCCTATCGGATGAAGATAAAGATTGATTCGGTCGGAGCGCATCATTTGTTTTTGAGAATATTGGATGCAAACATTCATATCACGCGTTCTTATTGACTTCGTTCGGTAGCATTCGTACCAAACGCATAATTTACCTTTTAACGCCGAAATCATGGATTTATTTGATGTTTTCTGCTTGATAGGCCCAAAATGGGCGCTTAGGCCGAAATAGTTCTCTACCCTACCATCGACAAACGTACAAAGTAGTACCAACCGGTGGAAACTAACGATTTTAAATTGGCTCTCTACTTAACTAGCCTATTGGTCGCAAGCAAATCGATTAACGTACCCCATTCTAGTCGAAATTCTTGTTCTACACAATGTTTGTTTTGATTCGCTATGAAAGTTTGGCAGATAAAATTAGGGGTTGGTGGATTTTCCTATGTTTCGAGGGGTGAATCGATTAGCTTGGGACCGAAGCAAGCTGTTTTAGAAGCAAAAATGTTGTAAACATTGCTGAACATCTGCGAACAGATAGAAATACGTCACTGCCAACAGCTGTTTCGTGTAAAAAGATAAACATTGCAATAAAATACGAACACCACTAAACAATTGCACATTTCACTAACACCAATAACCCCTTTGGCCCAGACCTTATATAAACGTAATTGAGTCAGTGGTACTGTTTACAAGCACTGACGTTTACTCTAAAAAAAAAAAATTAATTTTCGAATTTCAACTTGAAAATTGTCGAGGAAATTTCGTGATGAAAGGATGTAGCTCGTGGACATTGCAGAAGTGTAGTTTACATCTCACTGCAGTCTGAAAAATTATCTAGAAAATCTGCCCATGAAAAAATCAACTAAGTCCACGTAAACAGTACCACTGAACTGTCATCAAATTGAGGTTAACCTCGAAGGTGCAAAACCTAATTAAATTAGGATGTTTTGTTCGCTCTTCAGCTACGCATACTCGCAAACATTGACAAAACTTCAGAAATTTAGATTTGGTATGCGTGTAAATTTATTCACCTGCCATAATAATAATTTTTCCAACGTCATCTAGGAAAGATGGTACAACTATTTTTGCAATAATATACAATTAAATTCACAGTAGTAAGTTGATTTTGGTAGTTTGAAAATAGAAAGAAAAATGTTTGAGAATGTAATTTACGATGCAGTATGGGTAACGGTAACAACTTATTCGGGTGATCAGAAGGGAAGGTAGACTGTATATTTATTCAGAGTATGAAGAAGCTACAGCTAATCTTACCTAGAGGTCCAAGCGGTATGGGCAAGGGAGCCATCGAGAGAGACACATCTCGTTCTCTATTTTTGTTTTCTTTCTCCGATTCGGGTGGGCTTTTCCTTGATGGTTTCTCATCGTCTAAGATTTCCGGTAGTGGAGCCTGATAAAATAATTGTATACTGCCTTAGTCACGTTTCAACATTTAAGCGCTGGCCAGACTCAGCAGTTATAACAACAATCAATACGAAACTAACGATTTTAAATTGGTAAGGTTTCGAGGTAACTGTAAGACCAGAAGGTCCCGAAGAAACGTGCTCAAATTTTTGGCTCCGCGCTGGTACCCTCTTTGGTCCCAACATAATCGATGCAGCCCTCGAGACATACGAAAATCCACGAACCCCTCATTATATCTGTCAAACTTTCATAGCGAATCAAAACAAACATAGTGTAGTACTAGAATTTCGACTACACGAAACGAAAATCAATTATTTTATTCATGTGTTTTACTCATACATTTTTGTCAAAAGATCAGCCTTATAAATTCCATAAGACAAACCACATAGGACCTATTAGAATGCGTAAAAGGTATGTGTGACCGCTTATCCATTTCATTTGACACATGAGCTTCATTAACTTTTTGCAAGGCGTCTGCTTATTAGTTGAATTATACATTTTATGAATAATCAGCAATAGAAATTTGCCAAAAGGTATAAGGAGATTTCTATCCGTGTAGAATGGGGTACGTTAATCATTTGATTGGGACCAATAGGCTAGTCAAGTAGTGAGCCAATTTAAAATCGTTAGTTTCCACCGGTTGGTACAACCATAGAGGTAACTATAAGACCACTGGGTCCCGAAGAAAATCATTATTATTTTTGGCTCACTCAGTACCAGAACAACGGTTCCAAGCAGTCCCAAGCTATTTCACTCACCCCTGCATGTTCTGCATGAATCCACACACCCCTGATGTTATCTGTCAAACTTTCATAGCGAATCAAAACAAACATAGTGTAGTAATAGAATTTCAACTAGAATAGGGTACGTTAATCGTTTGCTTGGGACCAATAGGCTAGTCAAGTAGTGAGCCAATTTAAAATCGTTAGTTTCGTATTGATTGTTGATAATACCAACCGGTGGAAACTAACTATTTTAAATTGGCTCACTACTTGGCTAGCCTATTGGTCCCAAGCAAATCGATTAATGTATCCCATTCTAGTCAAAATTCTAGTACTACACTATGTTTGTTTTGATTCGCTATGAAATTTTGACAGATAAAATGAGGGGTTATTGGTTTTTCCTATGTTTTGAGGGGTGAATCGATTAGCTTGGGACCGAAGAGAGTACCAGAGCTGAGCCAAAAAGTTGAGCACGTTATTTCGGGACCTTCTGGTCTTAGAGTTACCTCTATGGTTGTACCAACCGTTGGAAACTAACGATTTTAAATTGGCTCACTACTTCACTAGTCTATTAGTATAGAGGTAACTCTAAGACTAAAAGGGCCCGAAGAAACGTGCTCAACTTTTTGGCTCAGCTCTGTTACTATCTTCGGTCCCAAGCTAATCGATTCACCCTTCGAAACATAGGAAAATCCACTAACACCTCATTTTATCGGTCAAACTTTTATATCGAATCATAATAAACATTGTGTAGTACTAGAATGGGGTACGTTAATCGATTTGCTTGGGACCAATAGGATAGTCAAGTAGTGAGCCAATTTCAAATTGACTCTAAGACTACTAATATAAATTCAATGATTATTTTGATGCGCCCCACACATGAATTTTAGCAATGTGATAAACAAATGATATATATGTGTTGAATACATAGTTCTTATGTGTACACATAAAATTAATGTGTAATCACACGTACTATTCATTTGACTTATAAATTTCATGTGTACTTCTGAGTGGATTCTGTTTATGTGTGGACACATGAAAATCATATGGAATTTTACATGGAAATTCGCCAATAAAAATGTGTCGAATTTTTTGAGTGTAGAAGGTCCCAAAAAAACGTGCTCAACTTTTTTAATCAGCTGTGGTACCAACAATCAATACGAAACTAACGATTTTAATTTGGCTCACCACTTTAGTAGCCTATTGGTCACAAGCAAACGATTAACGTACCCCATTACAGTCGAAATTTTAGTACTACACTATGTTTGTTTTGATTAACTATGAATGTTTGACCCTCATTTTGGTTAGTGGAATTTCCTATGTTTCGAGGGGTGAATCGATTATCATAGAGGTAACTCTAAGACCAGAAGGTCGCGAAGAAACGTGCTCAACTTTTTGTTACAGCTCTGGTACTATCTTCGGTCCTAAGCTAATCGATGCATCCTTCGAAACATAGGAAAAACCGTGAACACCTCATTTTATCTGTCAAACTTTCATAGCGAATCAAAACAAACATAGTGTAGTACTAAAATTTCGACTGAGCCAATTTAAAATCGTTAGTTTCCACCGGTTGGTATTATGGCGGTAAGCTCCAACTCGGATTAACTTTTAATACCATCCCTGTTTGGATGATCTGCAAAATATTTGCTTAGAGTCGTGTTGATCAACTTTGATGTCGACATCAAGGTAAGTGGACATTCTTGGTCGGGATTTAATCCGAGAATCCCGGTATTCATCTTTGATAATACCATAGAGGTAACTCTAAGACTAGAAGGTCCCGAAGAAACGTGCTCAACTTTTTGGCTCAGCTCTAGTACTCTCTTCGGTCCCAAGCTAATCGATTAACCCCTCGAAACATAGGAAAATCCACTAACCCCTCATTTTATCTGTCAAACTTTCATAGCGAATCAAAACAAACATTGTTTAGAACTAGAATTTCGACTAGAATGGTGTACGTTAATCGTTTGCTAGTCAAGTAGTGAGCCAATTTAAAATCGTTAGTTTCGTATTGATTGTTGATAATACCAACCGGTGGAAACTAATTATTTTAAATTGGCTCACTACTTGACTAGCCTATTGGTCCCAAGCAAATCGATTAACGTATCCCATTCTAGTCAAAATTCTAGTACTAAACTATGTTTGTTTTGATTCGCTATGATTTGCTATGAAAGTTTGACAGATACAATGAGGGGCTCGTGGATTTCCCTATGTTTCGAGGGGAGCATCGATTAGCTTGGGACCGAAGAAAGTACCAGCAACCGTTGGAACCTAACAATTTCAAATTGGCTCACTACTTGACTAGCCTATTGGTCCCAAGCAAACCCCCCAAGTAACTCTAAGACCAGAAGGTCCCGAAGCAACATGCTCAACTCTTTGGCTCATCTCTGGTACTATCAAAGAAGAATACTAAGATGAAACTGTCGGATGAAAAACTTTCTATTTTAATGTCCTCTTCCACGGTCCCTCTCATCCAATGAATACCCCCCGTATGCAAGGTAATTTTGTGGTTTTGCTGCCTTCTAGGTAGAGATGGAATTTTGCGCACTTTTGACGTAGACTACGTCTTACGGGAAGGTACTGGGGGTTAATCGAAAATCTAAAATTGCGACCGTCACGAAAAGGTGTAAGGCTTTGAACGCTTTTAACTTTGTCATTTATAGATGAAATTAAAATCCAAATATGTACACTTAGGTCTTTTTTTACCGTGTAAAAAAACTGTGTTAAAAAACCTACGAGATTTTGATTTTTTACATGCTTAAATGTTTTTTAAAAAATCGTGTTTTGATGCCATTTTAATTATAGCATGCTATGGACCACAGCATGCTATAATTAAAATGGCATCAAAATCCGATTGCCGAGACATATTTTAAAAATTTCTGTATTTTCACCAAAAATTGTGATTTTTTTTTAAGTATGCCATTCGATTACATATAGCTTGAAACGGATAATGTGATTGGAATCAAGTCGATAGGTTGTATCGTTGTCAAGAAATCGTTAAAAACGTACCGTGTTAATCGCAAAAAAACCGTGTAAAAAAAAAACCATGTAAAAAAACCGTATAAAAAAAGACTTCAGTGTACACCAATCCATAGGAAATAACTCTCGTAAGCTGTTACAATAAACGCTTTTTCAATTTTTATTAAAAAAACAAAGTGTTTCAAAAATGTACAAATAAAAAGTGATAATTTAATCACTGTTTTCATGAAATAAACGTTCTCCACAAACCCAGTCGTGATAATCGAGTACTATTTGGTTGCACATCGTGCTGCTTGAATCTGAAAAGTTATAAAACAGCGCTACTAATGTGCCTCAACTCATTTCCGCTTCGGATGGCGGGTAAACAGGTAGCAGCAACAGCAGCAGTAGCAGTAGCAGAAGTAGCAGTAGCAATAGCAGCAGTAGGAAGGCGGTTCCTGTCAAGCTCGCAGCGTTCGAGTTTTGCACCTCGAACTTAGCGCGTCGTTCCCGTCGAGATCACTGGCTGGTAGTAGCGGCGTCGCCTCGATGGCTGGGAGGGGGAAACGTGCTGTCAAATCAGCCTACTGATCATTCTTGTATGAAACTGGTTCCAAACGTAAACAAACGCTGTAGGTTTCTTATGGCTTGTTTGCGTTTGGAACCAGTTATGCAAGGTAGGCGAAGATTGTTCGTTTTTGTCAGTTTTGAACAATCTTTACCTACCTCGCGAAACTGGTTCCAAACGTAAACAAGCCATAAGAAACCTTCAGGGTTTGTTTACGTTTGGAACCAGTTTCATACAAGAATGATCAGTAGGCTGAATTGACAGCACGTCCCCCCCAGGGTTTTGCACCATCAGGGTTAACCTCCACTCGACCAACCATTTCGTTAACCAGCGATGCAAATCGATAAAAAGGAGATTATAAATGTGCATCGATGGCAATCTTTGTTGTTCTTTGTCAAAGTTCAAAGTTACGATGATATCAGTATTTAAATATTTATTGATGAATATTTGTAAAGAATACTAAAGTCCATGTGACATATCGAAATTAAAAGAAATTTAGTATGGCACCTTTATAGATTACTATCATATGACCGATGAAGAAATAATCTTAAATGTAAGTATCGATCAATAAAGATGTACATCGAAATCATAGAAAATTTAAAGTAAAGAATTGCCGACATAAATCTTTATTTCTGTATAAAGAACTTTGAAGAAGTTTCACGAACGGTTGGTCGGGCATCTGATGACAGTTCAGTGGTATTGTTTACGTGGACTTAGTTGATTTTTTCTTTGGTAGATTTTCTCGATAATTGTTCAGATTGCAGTGAGATGTAAACCACACTTTTGCAATTTCCACGGGCAACCACCACCACGCATTTCCTCGACAATTTTCAAGTTGAAATTCGAAAATTATAATTTTTTTTTAGAAAAAAAACGTCAGTGCTTGTAAACAGTACCACTAACTGTCAAAAAGGTTCAGCCGATTAACACTGAGTTCATTTGTGACGTCACGCTGCAGAACCTAATTGCCGAATTAGGTTTTGCACCGTCGGGGTTAACCAAAATCTGATGACAGTTCAGTGGTACTGTTTACGTGGACTTAGTCGATTTTTTCGTGGGTAGATTTTCTCGATAATTTTTCAGACTGCAGTGAGATGTAAACCACACTTCTGCAATGTCCACGAGCAACATCCTTTCAACGCGTTGTTCCTCGACAATTTTCAAGTTAAAATTCGGAAATTTTAGAATATTTTTTTTCGAAAAAACGACTAAGTGCTTGTAAACAGTACCACTGAACTGTCAAAAAGGTTCAGCCGATTAACAGAGTTCATTTATGACGTCACGATGCAGTACCTAATTAAATTTAACTCGTTGTTAAGCGTGACCTTTCGAATGTTAATTTAAATGTTCGAAAATGCTGGAAATGGATCAGTTATCAAACAGAATTCAGCCACGGTTACCAAAATTTAACTTCTAGTCGGTCCGAAATAACCACGCTTGTATAGCAGGGTTATTCGATAACTCATCTCTCACTTTTAACCACGAGTTAAATTTAACTCGCCCATTCCGACACAGTCTTGTAAGTAATATAAGGGCCATCCATAAATTACGTTTTTTTTACCAATTAACCCCCCTTCCCCTTCAGAGCGTGTTTTGCAATTCACCCAATACATGGCCGGTCCCAAGGTTTGAAACCCACTCCTCCCTCAACTACAACGTTATTTATGAAAGTTCCCTAATCATTGGGCAACATTGAAAATCAGCAGCACACACCACATAAAACGGGTTGGAAATTTAGGCGAAATTTCGGTATTGATCGTCAATATCTCGCGATCAGAACATTTAAGCTTGAAATCCCTCCATTTAATTCTCAGTACAGCCAACAATCAATTCGAAACTAACGATTTTAAATTGGCTCACTACTTGACTAGCCTATTGGTCCCAAGAAAATCCATTAACGTACCCCAATCTAGTATAAATTCCAGTACTACAGAATGTTTGTTTTGATTCGCTATGAAAGTTTGACAGATAAAATGGGGGGTTCGTGGATTTTCGTATGTTTCGAGGGGTGCATCGATTAGCTTGGGACCGAAGATAGTACCAGAGCTGAGCCAAAAAGTTGAGCTCGTTTCTTCGGGACCTTCTGGTCTTAGAGTTACCTCTATGGTACAGCCACAGACAAACAGACATAACACATTGAATATTTCTCACTGTAAAACATCGTCGCTGAAACATTACCGCCATCTGTTGAGTACACTGTGGTGGGCACTACACTGAACAGATGGCGGTAGTGTGTAAACGTCAAACGCAAGGGTATTGACTATGTGCGCCACAGGTGGCGGTATTACCAACTACGATACTTTTAAATTGTCTGTTAAATGCTTGTTCGACGAACAAATTGCGAGTGTTATGTCTATTTGTCTGTGGTACAGCTTTAATCTATTGAATGAATAAAAAAAATACTAAATATTTTTTTTAAGATTTCGTGCGTTTTATGAACGCACATTCATTATTTTGCATAAGAAAACGGGGTGTTTTTGTGGTAAAAAAAAAGGACTTCCCTACACAGATTACAGACTGCTGTACCAAGCACTGACATTATCAGACGGTACCTCTATTTATGCTTTTAGATTAGCTATGAAAGTCCATCCTACTTAGAAATTTATGACATAGAACGGTTTTTAAAATCCCAGATTTTTTGCTGATGGAGGCGAGGCATAGCAAGCTGTTCGATTGCATAATTATCCAAGTAGGAGGGACTTACAATGCTTATCCCTTAGCAGTACCGTCGAGTTTTTGTCAGTACTAGGTACTGAAATTCGGCAGTGAGCGTTCAAAAGGGCCTACTTGTAATGGTCGATTCTCTTCATCGATTTTCTCTTTACGTTGCTACCAGAGACGTTGAATAGAGACACGCATAGACTAAAGCAAGAAGAACCAAACGAACCGTCAAACGCTGAACCAAACGAACAAACTAAAAAAACATTACTGTTCGCTCAATTCACCAGAAAGGAGTATTGTTCTCTACACAGAAAAAAAGTTGTTGAATATTACATTCAAACTGCTGCAACCAGGTCAATCCATCGGTTGTGTAATATAACGTTGTACGATGTACATCGATTTTGCGAACAAAATTGCACAATCGAATTGATGTAATATTGTATCTGCTTTTTGCTATTATATCATTATTTCATACATCAGCATGAACTACATTGATCGATATTACTTTTTTTTTTGCTGTGTATGATGATAAAAGTGTTTAATTTTTTTCACTAAATATTTGATATCTGTTATTTATTTACTTATTGTTGATTCAATCAAATACAACATTTATAAGTGATACAAATCAATTTCGAATCGGATCGTTTTATTTAGTTTTATGGTAATAAAAATGATGGCGCTGCAAGCAAAACAGTAAAATGTGACAAAAGTTATGTCATGGAGCAACGACTTGCATCTCTCGTCTTCGCTTTATTTTTGAAAAATGTTGCCGCGCTCTAAATTTTTACTCAGTTCCGGTCGAACGTTCAAATTTTCTGAACAACATTGCGGCACTGTATGAAAGTCATTTGAAACCACTCGAAGAAACATGGTTGCCAGTGACATTGCCAAAAGGTCCCTTAAAAACCATGCTGCTGTTTTGACATAAATTTTCTTTGCGCATCTCTTACAACGTCTCTGATTGCTACAGCTAAGCGAAACGATTCAAGCTTAGTAACATTGATAAGATTCTCTTCGTCGACTTTCTCCTTGAACCCACTCGGCCCAGGTATTTTCAGCACACATATCGATAAAAGAAGTTTTTATCTAGCATCTAATACGACACATACAAGAAACGATTATGTGCTCAAGTTATTAACGGAAGAAAAAGTCGACGAAGAGAATCGATCAATGCTACTTAGGACCTAATGCAATGTTCAGCTTGAATATTATCTGAAATTTGTTCATTGTACTGCTGTTACAGGTTGTATTGGTTATCAAAAGCAACAGCAAACGCTCCGAGAAATGTTAATCCAAGCGAGTTATTAACAAAAGAGAAAATCGATTACGGTTACGTCCTTATGTATGCTCACTGTCGACCATAACTGGTGGAAATTTCCATTCTTTCTTTTTCTAATTTGGGTTTACAACTAAAAGTACAGTCAACTTTCTGTAATTCGATTTTGGGAAACATTAACTCATAGAAATTACAAATAATAGAACATCAAAGCTATGGAAAGCCTATGAAGGAATCGTCGTAGATCCATACATAGGGTTTTTATAGATCCATAAATAGGGCCTTTTCAACATGTCGAATATCGAGTTATAGAAAGTTTATTAAGCATATTATAAATTATTACATCTGGTGGACGAACGGCATCAATTGGAGCTAGATATTGAACTAACTTTGTCGACAGTTGATGCCACATTACCGATGCTTCACAGTAGCCACACTCCTAAAAAAATAAAATTAGATGTTTAGGATAATGCTATGTTCATGTCTTGTTCAGACTACAGAGCTATAACATGTCAAACAAATATCGACAAAAAAATTACTTCAAGATAGACTTATAACATATTATAACTCTCAAGTCATGTTACATGGGTGTTCCAAAATTATCGACAAGAAAACTGTCATCAAGATAGACTTGTAACATGTTATAATTCTATAGTGTGAACATAGCATAATGCCTTGTTTAGACTACAACGCTATTGGCAAATCAAAGTTGGTACTCGTAGAGAATAGAAGAACTATGAAAGTGATGATGGTTTCAAAATTTTACACGGTGAGGTACACGAGTTCAATCTTAAAATGCTTTTATTTTGCAAAGGGAGCATTTTATTTAAATCTGGTTAATGCAACGCTAGTAGAAAACTTAAGGACTACTTAATAGACATTTAATATAGAAAAAATAATTTCTTTTCAGATTTTAACGTGTAGACATAGATTTCAGCTTTTCTACAACTAAATATAGCAGCAACCAGATTTAAATAAAATGCTCCATTTGCAAAATAAAAGCATTTTAATATTGCACTCGTATACCTCTCCGTGGAAATTTTTGAAACCATCATCACTCTCATAGTTCTTCTATTCTCCACGAGTGCCGACTTCGAATTGACAATAGCGCTATCTTGATGGAGGTTTATGTGTTGCAATTGAATCGAATGAAGTTTTTTGGCACTTCAGTCGTACTGTTTACATGAACTTAATAGTTTTTTTTTCTAGATATTTTTTTTAACTCGGTACATTACAGTGGATGTGAAGCCACACTAATGCGATTCCAACGAGCAACATTCTTTCACCGGGCATTTTCTCGGGTTTTTTTTTAATTAAAATAATTCACAAGCGTATCACGAAAAAAAAAAATCTACGTGCTCTTAAACAGTACCACTTAAATGTCAGCGAAATCAATCACAGAGAACAGACGTCCAACTTCGGTCAGAAACTTGTGTAAAGATAAGTGCGAACATCGCCGTTACGTGGCGCTAGTTTCTCCTGATTTCCCCAATAAATTTTCCACTTTCAACCGATTTGGCGCTAGTATCGATAAATTTTCTGTTGCCGTCAGGTTGTCAAAGAGGGTTTTAAGTGTGGAAATCGCCGTTAGTGGCGCTTAAGCCGAATAGGAATCTTTACACTAGTTTTTAGAGAAATTTTGTTCGAGCCTAAACGTCTGTTCTCTGTGTTATAAGGCTACCTTGACGACATTTGTCTTATCTATAATTATTATAACATGTTATAAGTCTGTAGTTTGAACCTCGGTTTGAACAAGCGAGGACATTTGTCTTGTATATTATTAGTGTAACATCACGTCACAAACAGACGTAACACTTCATTCTGGATTATCGTTAGTGAATTTAACAATTGATTTGAATATTATCATTTCCGCGAACTATTCACATCGGATCACTTTGACGTTTCTATATATTATATTTACCTTGTATGCAATATTGTTAGCGACTTACCGAGCAAGCTTGTTTTGCGTGAGAAGCTCAAAAGATGGCTTATTTTTTAGGTACAATGTTTTAAGAAAAACTGTTTCAAAGAGTTACGTTTGCTTGTCTGTGGTAACATGTTGTAAAGCTGTTAATTACCTTAGAGGAACAAATATGGTTCCCCAATCCAACTTTTGCAGCCGTGACCATACATTTAAGCAAACGACATACACCATCACAAACAGTTGTATAAATTCCACTGTGTTGTTCAATATCTTGTAATTCCATCTGAAATGAAATAAGAAAAATGCTAAGATGAAACAGTCGTAAGAAAAAAACCTTCTATTATGGCAAGTCTATTGTTCACATGATATCAATATGATCCATTCATGCCTTTTCCATGCATTGCAATGGCGATCCTTCTTCTTCTTCTTTCCTTTATTTAACGTCGGTCTTTGTTCCGCAATCTAGTGCCAATCACCGACGGACATCGATTGCCATAAATTGACGGCAATCGAATGTGCAGAAAGGCAGCTTCCATACCTGCGTAGCACCCATTCGACACACATGGGCCGGGACCAACGGCTTTACTTCCCTTCCGAAGGAAGACATGACCAGAAATTTGTATGCCGCAGAAAAATCCCACTGTCCTCGGCTGAGATCGAACCCAGTCCCATTGGGGTGAGAAATCACCAGCGCTGGCCAATGGTGATCCAAAAAATATTGCTTCCATTTAGCGTTGAAAAAGGTCAACAACAATCCTCCAACCGAGAGGCATTTTGTATAATACATGAAAATTTATCGGACGCGTCATCGAATGTTGTCATCAAATAAAATAATATGCTGAAATGCAAACATTTAAAATATTATACAAATTTTCAACTGGTTTAGCCCTCGTGAAAAAATACATTGATAGCCTTTTTGAGCTACAAAATGGTGAGTTGACAACCTGGAAGGAGCGGGATACCTCCCAAGCAGCACACTTCCATCGAAATAAGTTGCTGTAACTTGATTGTGACTGGAATGGGTTGTACACAAGTAACCACAATTGTTGAGTGACAAGTGTGCTGCTAGGGCTACCTCTGGTCAGCACAAGTTCTGCACGCCTCCCCTAATCATATGCTAACAAAAGACTACCAGCTGAAACTTGCACACAGCCGGGTGGCGTAGCCTGGGTAATGTTACCAGTCCGGCAATATCAAAGTGAAGAAGCGCGACGCGAACACTTTCGGTGACCATAGTACCAACAATCAATACGAAACTAACGATTTTAAATTGGCTCACTACTTGACTTGATTGGCTCACTACCTATTGGTCCCAAGCAAACGATTAACGTACCCCATTCTAGTCGAAATTCTACTACTACACAATGTTTGTTTTGATTCGCCAGAGCTGAGGCAAAAAGTTGAGTACGGACCTCGGGACCTTCTTGTCTTAGAGTTACCTCTATGATAGTACGGTGGTAGAGGAAATGCTTCACCAAATCCACGCGTCTATTCACCACGGAGGTGCGGCTCAAAACAGCGTATGTTCTCCATGTTAGAAGCGACTGATGACTGTCCTAGTGCCAGCGTGGGACATTAAACAGAGCTGTTCACGATGGTCCCCGACGAGACAAAGGGTTGGGGCAGGTCTGTAGTAACCAAACACTACTAAAAAAATCCCTTATTTTCTTATAATATGCACATGGTTCTCATGTTTTTTATATCTATATTAGGGAGATTTTTAGCCTTTGGCTAGGTCATAGCCGTGGCTCTCATGTAAATATTTTCCGACAAAGCATACAAATTATCCATTTTTTAGTTCCTAGTGACCTAAGTGTTCAATTTAGCAGATTTGTAGCAAATTTTTATTCGATTGGCTTGTTTAGAATTAAAATCCATCCGCTATAAACAGAATTATATGTGATCAAAACCTGGCCACTTTTTGTAATGCGGTGAGATTTGTTTTTTTTTTTACAGATTTTTGCGCGATATTGACAAAATTGGTTTTCACAAAGTCATTGAAAACCTTTGTCAAAATTTCATTCATTTTTTCGTCAATGACAAAGATTCACCTGGTTACTTATAGTGAAATTTCGTGCATTCTGTGTCAAATTATTGTTATCCAAGCAGTTCAGGACAAAGATGTGTGTTCACTTTAACGATTCCATGTAAATGTTTTGCTCAAGTAATTTAATTTCATTACAAATTAAGCTAATATCAAATATATCATATGTGGCGAACCAGCCAATGGCTGAAAGCCTTGTAAATAAAGGAAAAAAAAAAAAAAATATATCATATTAACAATATGATCCATTCACGAGTCCATTCATGCCTTTTCCAAATATTGCAATGACGACCCGCAAAATATTGCTTCACGCACCATCTAGCGTTGAAAAGGGTCAGCAACAATCATTCAATTACAATTGAGGGGTGCGAATATAGCACTTATTACAAAAGTAAGAGTCACATTATTTTCATTAATTACATTGTGTATATTACTTTAAAATTTGTCTGACATGTTACTGCTGTTATCAAATAAATTAATATGCTGAAATACATTCATTTGAAATATTAAACAAATTTTCATTTGTTTTACCCCTCGTGACGATAAACAATTACATTGGTAGCCTTTTTGGCTACAGAGGTGCTTTCATCGCTAAAAATTTGGTTCGCCAGCTAAGCGAAAGAGTGGATCATATTGTAAATATAATATATTTGCTAATTTACAAGTCTGCAAATGTTCGTCACTGACAATTGACATGGTTGGCCTTGACAATGACTGTTAGGTCAAGCAGAATTTTGAATATCGCCGTTTATTGTCGAGATTTTGAAGCACTGAATGAGACACTCATCTACCACATCTATTTTTTTCACAAAATGGATATCAGAATAGAAAGCCTGCTTGTCTAAATAAAATAGATATACAGGGTAGCTGAATAAAACGGTCCCCTTGGTTTGAACTGTCAAAAATTTATAAACAAACTCGAGCCCGTATCTGATTATTAACGTAAGTGTAAAGACGTTCCCCTTGGGAAGTAATCAGCGTGATAAAAGTTTTGTGATATTGTGATATTACAGAAATATGGACTGTGAATCGAAGGGTCTCGCAGTTTTCAAGTTGCTGGAGACACAGGAGTCGGTCGGTGAGATAACCAAGCTGCTTGGTGTGAATCGAAAGTTTGTTTGGCGATGCAAAAAAATGATTGGAGGATGGAAGTGGAGCTTCAAGAAGACCTGGGACAGGGAGACCCTGTCTGTTCGGACACGGGCGTTGATAAGGGCGGTGGCCAACAAAATTAGTCAGAATCCGGTAAGGTCTATGAATCAAACGGTCAAGTAATATCAGGTGTCGCGTATGACGATAGAAACCGCGATTAAAAAGGATCTTGCCCTCTATCCTTCTAAACAGCAACAACGTCCACTTCTCTCAGAAGCAGCAAAGAAGAAGCGGCTGGAAAGAAGCAAAATCCTGAATAAGTAGCTCGCGGATAACCCTGACGTGATTTATTCGGATGAGAAGCTATTTGAGGTCGGCCGCAAATTTAACCGTCAAAATGACAGAGTGCTATGAATTATATACCTTACCATAAAATAAAAAAAAATGGACGCAAAAAATACCAATAATAAAAAAAAAGTAAGCAACAAAAATAACACCACTTTACAAAAAAATAAGACAAATTATTTTAAATAATAAAAAAATAATTACACAACAAAATATTATCGAATAAATTATATTAAGTAGAAAATAAAACACTAAAATATTGTTAACATCAATACTTACAAAACGTGACGTGGTGATAGATTTCAACATTCTACAGATTCTGAATTCCAGCATCCCATGATATCCTGAATGGTTACACCATTCTTCTAAAGGGGGAAGTGTAGTAACCAATCATTTCTATACAAATCCCTCATTTTATAATAATGTAGACATGTCTCTCATGTGTGATATTCCGACAAAGCATACAAATTATCCATTTCCTAGTTGCATTCTGTGTCCTAATTTTTATGACACAGTTTACTGAATCCTCACAGTCAGCAGTAAAACCTTTTCCTCTTTCCTTATTTTGAAACTCAGATGTGTCGATGGTGTAGTGGTAAGCGTGATTACCTCTCACCCCAGCAGGCCTGGGTTCAATCCCAGTCGGCACCACCGGGATGTTCTGAGGCATAACATGTCTGATCACGCCTTCCTTCGGAAGGGAAGTAAAGCCGTTGGTCCCCGGTTCATGAGTTGATGGGTCGATAGGTAGGGTCCAGGTGTGGGAGCTGTCTCCCTGGCGTCGGTAGCATTGGTGCTCAGCACGGAAAACAAGATCGACGAAACACAATCCACACATTATCCAAACATCACTCACGCCGCATTCCATAGCAACTCTGTCCTTTCAGGTCTTTACTTAAAATAAATTCATTCTCAGTTAATACTATATTTAGTCTGCCACAGGTCCAACAACTTCTTCTTCTTATTCGCATTTCAAGCTTATTGCTTAGCGCATATTAGCTTGTTGCGTGCTCTCAACTTAGTGTTCTAAATGCACTTCCACAGTTATTAATTGAGAGCTTTAGATGCCAATACCAATGCATGAATTTGTATATTGTGTGGCAAGCACAATGATACTCTATGCCCAGGGAAGTCGAGAAAATTTCCAACCCAAAAGATTCCCTCGACCGGACCGGGAATCGAACCCGCCAACCCAGGTTCAACAAGCCGCCCTGGAAAAAAATATAAAATTGCAAATACCGAGGAAAGAAATACGGATCGGAACAATCGGCGCAAACCTACACTCGGCTTCCTGCACGGATAGAAAATTGTTTGTATTTAAACAAACAATTCCGGTTGAAATTATATTGCATTTTATTGTTTCGATAATACTTATTCAAATAAATTCAAAATAAAATTCTTTTTGTTTTAATAAGACATTCTTCAACTGAAACTATTGTTAAAATAACAATATTCTTTTATTAAGCCAATAATAGTTAATTTTAATTTAGCTTTTTTTTGTGTCCGTTCCCCGGGCCATGAATGCAAAAATAACTACCAACCATTCCCTCGTTTTCACCCGGACAAAAATGTAAACAATAACAAAACTTTTCTCGTTTGATTTAGCTCTTTTCCGCGTTCCACGTAAGTTTTGTTTTTAATTGCGAATTTCGGGAAAAAAGTGCAAGATTTCCAAAGATCTTGAGACTTGAGGTAAATAAGTATGCTGCAGTTGCTAAATGTAAACAGTTTTTCTTTATTTTATTCCTTGATTTTTTCCGTCTATCTTGTTTTCCGTACTACGCCAGGAAGGCAGCTCCTAC